GCAGGCGCAAGTATCACATTGAAGTTATGAGTAGAATTACTGTATTTACTTTAATAGTAATAGAAGTGTATTTTCTACACTCTACAGTGAATTGAAGTTCATTAATCGTTAATAAATCCACCAGTCGATTTCTGTTTAATGATAATAAAATAATAATATAATCATATTATAGTAATAAGTTGATCACGTTACGTATTTATATTAATTGTCTGATATCATGTGTTTTTGAGGGGAATAACATTTTGGTGTGCCGTGTTGAGTCATGGATATTTCATGGTGTGCCGCGAGTAGAAAGAGGTTGCGGAACACTGGTCTAGATAATGTGGGACCCTCAACGTCTCACAACCCTATTGGTCTTCGCGGCCTGTTACAGGGATAGCTGTACTTTTTTTTTCTAAGGCAATTATAATAGAATCTATAACTTCCATTTCGAAATACACGGAATAGATTATGTGAGCAGTACTAATTTGCAAGCCTATTCGGGACGTTCACAGTTCGAAATTTGGTTTGCATTCTTTTAGTAACTAATTTTGTCTTGTGTACTCTCTGTCGCTACTTACTCTCGTACGTATCATTCGCAATCATTCTGCCAAAATGTAGTGCAAAACATGACAGGCAACTAGACCACAGCGTCATATAGTAGTGAAATAAACAAACAAAACATATATTTCGTTGGAGATGAAGGAGGAGTCTGAAGCTGGTCAGTCGACCTCAGTATGCCTGTGCTGTGATGGAGAATGAATGGAGTTTTGCCTTTGCGTGCTCTATACGCCTCCGTGGCCTGATTTGTAGTTCACGAATGTTCAGGGATGCGTTAGTAATATACATCTGTTTTATAATATATTTAATAGCTTTTTTTTTTTTCCTGTGGCGCTACAGCCCCAATTTAGGCCTAGGCCTACCTCCATGAAACTCTCCCTTTCACTTCGGTTTACTAGATCGTACACATACGGTAGGACTTCTTGGGCGAGTGATCAGCTCGTCGCGAGGCCTCTACCTGTAGACAAACACAGAAAAACGCACACAAACATCCATGACCTGAGTGGGATTCGAACCCACGATCCCGGCTTCCGAGCGAGCGAAGACAGTGCATGCCTTAGACCGCTCGGCTACCGTGACCTGCATTTAATAGCTTTATGTTCTTATAATTAATACGAAAGTACATTAGGTAAATATTTCTTTTATTGGTGATGGTCTAGTTCATGAAGTGATGACTCGAGCAAGGTGGCTCAGTCAGTAAAGCTTCGGATTTATATTCGGGAGATTCTCGGTTCGAACACTGAACACTGCTTATCCGGAATGAAATTTTTCTTTGATTTCCTCAGTCCCTCCATGAAAATGCCGATTTGGCACGTGTAATCTTTTTCAGATCACGAATCGCTATCATTCGATAATTTGACCCTAAAAATTCTGAGTTACTTGTGGCTTCATTTAACAGATCACAAATATATGAAATAAAAATAAATTAGCCACAATTGGATGGACACACATATAGACACAGACTGATGGGGTGAGGGAGGGATTTATGATGTACGCCGCTGAGATGAGATCAGGTGCCAAGATGTATACACCAGATTTCATAAGATTGGTTCAGTCATTCAGAAGCTGGTGGGGGATACACAAACAGCATGAGCATCGCATGTGCCTACTTTATTTGTTTCCGAAATAAGGGAAGTAGGCCAAAATGGGCAGTGTCGAGCGTGTCGAGTGTCGTCTAACGAACCAATTGTCACTGGACACTAGTACAGAAACAAATCATTGATTGAACTAAGCAGAGAAAGCAAATGACGAGCCCAATCAGGTGTAGAACCCTCCCTCCAGCATCACTTCCTAGCCAGCACTTCTGTAAACCTTCTATGTGAATACGTTTTCTTTGGATGAAATAACATACAGCACCACTGTATTTGGTAGTATAAAGAATCATACAAACACCATATGGATCCATATTGAACGATAACGCAATTAAAGAAATCGTACCAGTATTCTTGTACGCCTGAAGATGACCCAAGAAAAGGGTCGAAACATGTAGGGTTAACAGCAACAGCTAATAAATCAAATGTTGACACAGTAGTGCCTATTTTGTCTCTTTTTAGAATTACAGTTGTGTAAACTGTCCCATTATATATCGCACGACACAGGATTTATGCTATAAAGATATTTACACGGTGTTCGGTGCCCACGGTACACACCGATAACGTCCTTCGGCATCCGGCATACTACTCGCACTGAATTCCACGGATCCTCTATTCTGTGCACAGGTTACACGGCGCTTCCTTGGGTTCCCGTGCTTGGCACCATGCTCGAAGAATAATGTGAATTAAAGAATATGATGAGTATTATAAAATATTGCTAAATGTAAATTAGGCTGAAACAATTACATATACTACAATTTAAGCTGAAATCCGTTCCAATATATGTATAACGATGTAAATTTATGTTTTTTTTAGATTCTCATTTCGATATGTCGAAAACGCAGTGTTGTGTCTGTGAGTGCTGTACTTTTCAGTTCAAATGTATTTTATCAATTAATTCTCACCCTCATGAAAGTAACGAATATTTCTATTAAATAACGCTTATTCTAATTTTTAAGACTATAGCCTTCAATATAGTCAGCAATACTTGTAACATTTCAAATGATTCTGATTTCGCACAGTGATCAGAACAGAAGACTTCTGTATTGAAACACGCCCTGTCGATGGTAAATTTTAAGTGGTTAAAATATGGTGGTAATGTGTGTAGATGTACGGTTGTAAGCAAGCGAAATTTCAGTATATTAGAAGAGAAGGTAGTTTTGTGTGTTGGTGGTGATAATTGTCTGCGGTAATAATTAAGGCGTTGTGTTGTGCTTTTGAAATTTAAGACGTTGTTGAAGTGGCATGCAGTCTCAATAACCTCGAAGCGATTCGAAGTGTTGGCATAGTACACAGAACACGTTGTAATATTTACAACAAAACATGTCGAATGGAGCAACGCCGAAGAAGATTAAGAAACTGGAAGTGGCTGGGGCATCAGGAGACGCCGATGAAAGTAGGGATTACGATGCCGAAACTCAGAAAGCTTTAGAAGAAATAGATGCTTGCCAAAATGAAATTGATGCACTGAATGAGAAAGCAAGCGAGGAAATTCTAGTTGTCGAACAGAAATATAACAAACTAAGAAAACCCTACTTTGATAAGAGGAATGATATAATCAAGAGGATACCGAATTTCTGGGTAACTGCTTTTGTAAATCATCCACAGATATCAGCTATTCTTGATGAGGATGAAGAAGATTGCCTACATTACTTAACGAAATTAGAAGTGGAGGAATTTGATGATATAAAGTCTGGGTACAGAATCAATTTTAATTTTGAGGAAAACCCATATTTTGAGAATGATGTTCTAACAAAAGAATTTCATTTGGGATCATCTGGTGACCCAGCTTCTCAGAGCACATCAGTTCGCTGGAAAGAAGGAAATGATTTATCAAAAAAAATTAAGGATAAAAGTGGTGGAAAGGGAAGGAAGAGATTCTTGGAGCAGAAGACACTCTTCAGTTGGTTAAGTGATCATGCAGATCCATCTGCAGATGATATTGCAGAAGTTATAAAGGATGATATGTGGCCAAATCCTCTACAGTACTATCTTGTACCTGACATTGAGGTAGAAAATGGTGTAGAAGGGGAAGATGATGGTAGCGAGGATGAAGACGATGCAGATCTCGCAGAAGTGGAGGAGGAGGAGGAGGACATTGAGGGTGAAGAAGGTGGTGATGACAATTTGGCAGAAGAAGATGATGAAGATGTTGCTGAACAGGAAGATGATGAAGGTGGGGATGACTGAAGTGCAGAAACAAGAAGGCATAAAGCAAAACCAGAAAGTTGAATTTGTGAAATGCTACAAATGCTGAAGAAAAATATAGACTGTACAGTATGAATGCAACATAACCAGTTATCCTACAGTTGTGATGGAATGTTTCAGGGAAAGTAATGTAACGTGAAGAGATGGGAATGGCAGTTTCAGAGTTAAAGTGAGCAGTTAATATTTCTAAGTATTATCTTCATTCAACATTGTAAACATAGTCTGTCACTCAGCTGAGTAGAAGTTAGATAACAAAAGTGGTAAATGTAAGGTTATGAGTAAGAAAATTGTAATATGTTTTCTTTTCCTAGGTAATGTTGAGTAAGACTGGATTGCCATCATGGCAGTAACACATTGGCAGCATGATTTTGAGTTTTTTTACCCAGTGACTCCTATTTTTATTGGTATGTTTAAGGATCTGTGAAGTTAAATTTACTGAGCTCACCTTTCTCATTCTGAATGATTACATGTTTTGGTAGTTGGGTGATGCCAGATCTTTGAAGTAATTATTCATGGAATGTGTTGTAAAACATTTACAACTTGATTTCATCTAGTGAACAGAAATATTTCTACATGTTTTGGGAGTATTAGGGACAGTGAAGATGACCTATCGCATGTAGAATTGTGTCACATTTTGTGTTAGTTGTATATGTATTAATCAATAGATTATAATAGTCACCAGTTTTAAGGTAATACTATCTTAGAATTTACTTGAATGTTGAGGAAAATACTAATTAAAGACTTGGTTATTGTTAAGGTGATAGGTTAGAGTGTGGTTAATCAGATAAGAGCTTGTGTGTGTTGAAAGCGAGTCTTTCTTTAGACTTTTTCAGACTAAAGATGTTTAATTTTAAATGTTCAACACAATAGTTCTAGTGAGCCCTGTCATTGGCATACCATAAATGTATAAAATATGAGATCTGAAGTTTTCATGGCAGTGAAGGTTTATATTGTAGTTCTTGGTGTTATGACACAGGAATATTGGAGGTGGGTAGTGGGGTTCCTCTGAGATGTTACCCACCTATGAGACTATATGGTGTCATAACCCAGAAGACTGCAGTATGAGTTATAAATTGTAACAGATTGTCAAGTTTGGCATCACCTAGACTGAAATGCTGTCCATGAAGCGTCACATGTTTTGTATTTAATAAATGGATTATGTATGGAAACATGGATCATTTCTTATTAGTATAGTCTTAAATAGCAGGTACAAGTTCCAATATTTGTAATTTTTTTTATATCACTATTACATACAGATTTTGTCCATCATGTGCAGTTGCACATATGTTGCAGGATGTATTGATATTGAAGTCACCAAATTTCACCATTGTTTTCTTGAAGCTTAATGACTTATTTTGTACAGAATAACAATGTTGTCATCAATAAAAGATTTCAGTCTTTGTATTACTATGTTCACAATTCTGATGTTCTGTATCAGAGAGCTTATTGTGACCAAATTTCTGACATTGCTTTTTCAGAAAAGAAATCTACTCATACCTTATTATTGTAGTTTGGGAAAGTGTTGCATGTATTAAACTTCAACCATTTCTGGACCAGCCCCAAATATATTTGTGGCTGTGTAGTGTGTTGACTAGGTCAACAATAATTACACTGGTGTCAGGTTCCACATTTTTCTGCACACCAGTGCTGAATACATTTTTCAACATACAGATTTTTGTAGGTTGAAGTAGTAAATGTAATTCATAACTTGAACTCTTCTCCAAGTATAATTAGAATGATCAAGTCAAGGGGGGTGAGGTGGGCAGGTCATGTAGCACGAATAGGGGAGACGAATGCGTATAGGATATTGGTGGGAAAGCCAGAAGGAAAGAGACCACAGGGAAGACCAAGGCATAGGTGGGTGGACAATATTAGAATGGATCTTAGAGGATGGGATGGTGTGGATTGGATAAATCTGGCTCAGGATAGGGACCAATGGAGGGCTCTTGTGAACATGGTGATGAACCTTTGGGTTCCATAAAATGCTGGGAAATTCTTGAGTAGCTGCAGAATTGGCAGCTCCTCAAGAAGGGCTCAGCTCCATGAGTAAGTAAGTAAGAAGTAGTAAATATTTTATGCAGGCAAAATTTGTGAGAGAAAAAATAAAAAGGACTGATAAAATCTGAAATACTGATCTCACTGTTTGTAGTAAAACCTGAAATTCTGCATTTCATCATCCTGTTGCACATCTGTAATTAAACGTTTATGTACTTTGTCAATAATGCCACAATCATTAAAACATTCAACACCAACACGACATGTTTCGGCCACAAATGGCCAACCTGAGGTGTTTTCGTGCGTCTGACTGTTACACTGCTTTGATGCATGCTAAAATTGCATGTTTCAGTCCACGTAATTTAAAATCTTTCATAAAGTCCTATTTCACCTCATAAGGAGCATCATCCACTTGTTTAAAGCTATGTGATGTGTGTATTCCGGAACAGTTTTTTCAGCAGCTACATCTGCAATCTGCAATATGCCCCTTGTTTGTGTGTTGTTCCCTGAGGCATATTGCAGACATAGCTGCTGAAACAAACTGTTCTGGAATAGACGCATCACATAGCTTTAAACAAGTGGACGATGCCCCTTATGAGGTGGAATAAGACTTTATGAAAGATTTTAAGTTATGTGGATTGCAACATGCAATTTTAGCACGCATCAAAGCAGTGAAACAGTTTAGACACATCAAAGCACATGAGGATGGCTGTCTGTGGCCGAAACATGTCGTGTTGGTGTTGAATGGTGAATTGTTTTAATGATTGTTGCATTGACAGACTTAAGTACATAAACGTTTAATTAAAACCTGAAACATTGATTTCAGTGTTTGTGAAAGGAAGTATGGGCATGAAGTTATATTTATGGTAGAAAAAGATGGAGGGTTAAGGTGCATTATATTTATGCATGGAATAAGTTATGTGCAAAGTGAAAGCAGGGATTGACCCAACTGCAGAGCTTTACATGACTGTGTTTTGGTATTGTGTTTACGAGTGCTGTTTTATGTGCCATTTTCAAAACTGATGGTCATGTGTGTTATGACACCATGTAGTCTGGTAGGTGGTTGCCAGTGTTTTGGAGGGAAATATTGCATCCATCTTCATGAAGTTTGAAATGGGTCACACAATAGGAGTGATTGAGCAACCTGCTTCAAGCAGGTGATTGGTTTCAATCTTTGCTGGAACACTGACTATCCCGATAGATTTTTATGGTTTGCCTCAGTCCCAGCAGGAAATTGCAGGGATCATACCTTAAATTTGCCATGATTACAAACTTTCTATTACATAAAATGCCAGTTATGTAAGACACATATTAACCCCTACAATTTTTGAACAGAAATTGATTCCTTTGAGAGCCTACTTAATTTAGGATTCTCAAATGGGCCAATTACAGATGTACATTAATATATATATAAACTTCAGCATGTGTAAGATTTGATTTTAGAAGAACGGGAGTTTTAAACAAGTTCATTAATAAGTAGTCCTGGAAAATATGCCTAATATGAAAAAATTTTGTTTTCTGTAGACATGTAAAAATTGAGATTTACCTTCCTAAGCTGACATTTTTTAATGGTAAAATTGGTGACTGATTTTTATGTTGAAAATAAAAAGTTGATTGTAATAAATTAAAGGCACTTAATAAATTTAAGTGCTGTCGATGAATGATGGTGTTCTCTTTTTGCAGTCTCAGATATAGTATATATAGAGGGTTTATTTAACTTTGTTGGCTGGTTCATGGCTCTGCACTTTAGGGCAACTGGTTCACTGCTTCCTGCGAGGTGCATATGAATTTTTCCAATGAGTCAGCCTGCCTGATGGCCGATAACATTTGTAAAGCGGGGAAGTAATTAACCTGTGGACCACTTGAGGGCATTGTTTCACAGCCAACAGTGTGGTTCATGTGTGGGAGTTTATGATTTGTCAGCAGTTATGAGCACTATTAATCATTTGTTCTCAGTTACAGTTAAGTGATCAGTGTGGTACATCATGATAGTGGTATACTTTAGAGGATTGTGTGTTTCTGTATGACATATGTGAAATATGGATCTAGAAAGTGTCAGAAAAAATATTTTGATTCATATTTCATGATGAAAGATCTAGAAAGTGTCAGCAGAAATTTTGACATAATTTCTTGATGAAAGAGTTCTCAGCAGACCAACAATTCACAATTTTATATACAAACTTAAAAACAACATGACCCCTAATAGACAAGAAACAAAAATATAAGTGCTGAATGCTTACTGAGGAGATGTTAGATGACACAGGGGCCAGACATGTACACCTAGAAAATTAATGAAATGTATATCTCAAGAGACAGGAATGTCAAAGTCTAGTGCAAGAGCAGTAACACAATAGCTGAAGCTTAGATCCTATAAAGCAACAGTAATACATGCACACCTTGCAGCCTTGCGATCCAACTAGCAGGGTTCATTTTTTCAGTTGGTTTGTACAGTCTGTTGTTGAAGGTGAGATTGATACACGCTTGACATTCTTTTCTGATGAGATGTGGTTTCACTTGCAGAGATGCATAAATATGCAAAATGATCACTACTGGAGTTCACAGAATCCACATCTAACCCACCTCTAACAGAAATGAGTACAGGAATCTTCCCGGGGGTAAAGGGTGGCTGGCGCATAAGGTCAACCGCTGCACTGAGCCAACTGTCTAGAAAAAGTGGGCACCTTGATGTCTCACAGCCATATGGGCCTCCACAACCTGTTACAGGGATAGCTTATATCCACAAAGTCCTGCTCCACCCAGTGAAAGTTGGCGTCTGGTGTGCAAGAAGGATTATTGCACCTTTTTTTTTTTTTTTACAAAGTCAGACAGGTTTTCTTGTACTAAGAGAATCATATCAGCAGTCAAGAGGGTATAGTTTGTTAGTGATAGGATGTCATACATAAAAATCTTACAGTCAGAAGTACAATGTTCCTACATGATAACATTCATAAAGTCTCTGATGGGAAGGTGCACAATAAAATTGACCATATTTTGATAGACAGGAGACAGCATTCAAGTATACTTGATGTCTGATCATTCAGGGCAGCCGATTGTGATACTGACCACTATCTGGTGGTGGCAAAGGTTAAGGAAAGACTGGCAGTGAGTAAACAATGCACAGAGTTCATATGGATTGGTTCAATCTCAAGAAATGAAAGGAGGTGGATGGTAATGAGCAGTATCCTGTTGAAAACTCAAATAGGTACATGGATTTGGAAAACTTGGACACTGAGGTGGATGATGATAAAGCTTGGGAAACTATTAGAGAGAATATAATTCTGCCAAGGAGAGTCTAGGTTCTTATGAACTGAAGAAGCATAAGCCAGGTTCAATCAATTATACTCAAAAATTATTAGACCAAAGAAAACAAGCCAGATTTCAGAGGTTGCAGGATCCAAGCGAAGTAAATAGGGATAATCTGAACAATATTAGACGTGAAACCAGCAGCCATTTCTGGAATAGAAAGAGGGAATATCTGAAAGACAAACTTGATGAGCGTGCAATAAACAGTAAGAACAATAACATTAGAGAGCTATATAGAGGAATAAATGACTTTAAGAGGGGTACCATTCTAGAAGTAACTTAGTGAAGGATGAGAATGGTTATCTGTTTGCAAATTCCCACAATATTTTGAATAGGTGGAAGAACTACTTCAGTCAGTTACTGAATGTACATAGGGTCAGTGATGTTAGGCAGATAGAAATACATACAACTGAGCTATTAGTACCTGATCCTATCCTTTTGAGGTTGAAATTGCTACTGAAAAGTCGAAAAGGTATAACTTGCCAGGTAGTGATCAAATTCCAGCAGAACTAATTCAAACAGGAGGCGAAACATTAAGTTGTAAGATCCATAAGCTAATTACTTCTATTTCGCTTATGGAAAAATTGCCTGATGAGTGGAAGGAGTCTATTATTGTACCAGTTCACATCATCATCATCATCATCATCAGTAATCTGTCAGGCAACAGGTCCACGGTCTCTTCCAAAACAATTCCTCCACT